CAGCCTCAGGGATATGTACAGTACACAGCAATTCATCAGCTCATACTATGTGGCACTGACATTTCTTGTGTCGAACCAGAAATAGCTTCGGCAAGAGTAAATTGAGCCCCACATGTGGAGGCCAGGAAGGCTTTGGTTTGTCACACAAACTGCAATATTTGCCAAAAAAAAAAAAAAAAAAGGAAGACCGAGTTGAGGAACAAAAAATGGACTTTCACATTCACCAGCGGTGCAGGGAAAGCCTTTTGGGAAGGGAGAAGGTTCAAGACTGGGGTTCAGAGAACAAAAACCACACAACTGTTTTCCAAGTAATGCAGAAGGAAGTACCCAGCTGGACAGAGTTCCTCCCAGCGTGCAGCACGTCACCACTGCTCCCTGAGCCTTCAAATTCCACGAAAACCTCGAGTATCTTGTCCTGCAGAACTGTACATCCCAGCCCTCTGCACAGAGCCCAAAACACCAAAGCTGGACAAAAAAACAGAGAGACCCTATCAGAAGCCACATTCCAAGTAGCAACTTAAATGGGTTGGAGAAATAAAAAAAGGAAATTTAAAAAAAAAAACAATGGAGTACAGGAATAGAAGCAGAAAACTTATTTCAAAGAACTGAGCTATTCAAGCAGAAGAGCTCTGATAATCAGAGTCAATGCTGACGCAAACCTCCACCCTTCCTGGGTAACTGGAACTCTTTAGAGCTTCAACATTTGCGTGCTGGACTACGCAAATGAAATTAAGACATCACAAATATCCCTTTGGTGGCCAAACTCCACATCCATGCAGGCCAATGAAGCCAACAAATTAAAACATCTGCTATTCCACTTCACAGAACACGGCTTCAAAGTCCAGAAGAACCATAGTGACCCCCTCCTTTGGAACAAAAGATGCCAGACTGCCCTTGGATTTTAATTCCTGCTCAAGGGCTGCTTTAGCCTGCTTTGCTAAAAGCCCAGATTTCAGCAATAAATTCTCTACTAGGGGTTGGAATGGGCTCCAGGAAGTGCCTCATGTTCTCTGCACTAGGAGGTGGCACAGATCACACCAATTGGCAAGGCAGCTTCAGCCCCTCATCCAGGACAGGCAGAGCTCACAGAAATATCCTGTCAAGCTTAGGCAGGACAAAAAAAAAAAACGTTAAAACAGAGTGACTCAGTAGTGTTCAGAAGAAGAGCAGTCTCTCAATCTATATTTGCACAGCCACTAGTACAGCAAAGCCCATGAAGAGTTCAGTTTTTAAATACTATCATAATGCAAATATTTTCCCTGCTGGCGCCTCTGCCATCCCTGAGGAGCCAGAGCTGCCAGGGCACCTGGCTGGTCATGGAAAAGAAAACAGGACTCCCAGAAGACTGTGGCTCCTGCAGCTCCTTCACAGGAGCTGTAAATGGCTTAGGACACAAAGAAGGTGTCTCTTATCCCTAAGGAGGAGGCAGAAGCAGAAAGCAGAAAAATGCTCTTTAGCCACCACCCAAACACCCCCTGCTCCCCACATCTGATTCACAAGCAGGATTACTTTGCAACAAAACACTAATACACTCACACTTCTAAGGTACCTGGAGGGACTTCTCCACATAGAAGTATTCTGTACTTTCGGATTTTAAAAAAGCCTTAGAAAAACGTGTTGACTCCAGAATTATCTTCTGCTCTTCACCTGTCTGCTCTTTGACAAACCAAACAGAAAAAAACCCTCTTGAGACATCTCATGACTACTCCAAACACGAGTGTTTACTACATCTACAGCCTGCCCAGGTCAATCAGTTGCCTCTTGCAAGGGACCAGAATGTGTCTCATTTTAAGGTGCCAGGCACCAGCATCCCCACCAAACCCAGCACTTAATGCACCTACTTGGAAAAGTTTATTTAGTGGGAACCAAGAAGGGGACTGTCACTCTGAACAGCTCCATTAGCCTGGGTACAACTTCACTTGAAAAGCCTCAGCAAAAGGCAAAGTACACACCATTCCTGGTTTCCCAGTCCTGCCACCTCCCTACAACTCGGTCAGGAGATTGCGTGGGCTGATGGATCAGGGCACCTGCAGCCTGACCTGGCTCACTGCTTGGCCCTGTGATCATCCCCTTTGACATGGAGAAGGTGGGGTAAACAGGGTGGGGGAGAGGTCAATACAATCACCCCTTTTGGCAGCAGTCAGAGCAGATCCACCATTTCGCAAACCACGTCCCGAGATGAGCAGTCATCACTGTTACCCAACACACGAGAGACAAGAAAGAAAAATCACAGCAGTGGAAAAATCCTGTTTCTCAAATCAGAAACACAGAAATCTAGTGTGATACTTGCCAAGCAGGCACGTGGTTCAGATTTGAAACCACTTTGTACGGTCTTGTATCAGAGGCTGCTGAAGCCCCACCAAAGTGTGTTGGGAAAATTAATCAACGCACCTCAAGTCTCGTTTAAGGTGTTTCTTTTGACAGCCACTCAACACATGAGGCACATCTTTAGTGCACTGGGAGTAGCCACACAAGCCTTATGCTCACTTCCAAAAGTTTGAAAATATCCAAGCAACGACATTAGATCCATTCCTTGGCACGACGCTGCAAAGGGCATTTCTGTGGAACATGAACCGTGCACAGGGGGTGCACACAGGAAATTACTGACTCTGGACAGATCTGTGAGAGCCTTCTCACAAACGCGTCCTCAAACACCTCCAGGGATGGTGACTCCCCCACTGCCCTGGGCAGCCCATTCCAATGCGTAATCACCCTTTTTGTGAAGAAATTCTTCCTGATGTCCAACCTAAACCTCCCCTGGTACAGCTTAAGACTACATCCTTTTGTCCTGTCCCTTGTTCCCTGGGAGCAAAGCCCGACCCCCACCTGGCTCCACTCTCTTGTAGAGAGTGAGGAGGTCCCCCTTGAGCCTCCTTTTCTCCAGGTTGAGCCCCTCCAGCTCCCTCAGCCCCTCCTGGTGCTCCAGCCCCTTCTCCAGCCCCATTACCCTTCTCTAGACTTGCTCCAATGTCCTCCCTGGATTTAGGATCCCCTCTGCCCACACACAGAGCCGGGGTCACCCCCTCTCCAGCGGGTACTCACATCCTTCCCACGCCCTCGTACATGCGGGTCTCATCCACCAGCATCATCACCTCGGTGTCGGTGAGGTGAGCGTGCTTCTTGGTCTTGCTGAGCTGCTCGATCTGCAGGTCGGCCAGTTTCACCTTCTGCTGCGTGTCCATCACCTTGGCCTGCAGCTCCGTGAAGGCCTGGCCAGGGGAGGGAGGTGGAGTGAGGGGTGTCCAGGCGGGCAGCAGGGGCACAACCAGACCAGGGATGTGGGGAAGGAGGGGATCAGCCGAGGGGACACGTTGGGGAGGATACAGGGATAGGGGGACTGAGGACACAGGAGACACACATAGGTGGGGAGACACAGTGGGACACACACATGGGTGAGGGGACACACAAGGGGGAGGACACCTGACACACACGTGGGTGGGGAGACACAGTGGGACACACAGGGGTGAGGGAACACACAAGGGGGACGACATGGGAGACACACACACGGGTGGGAGAACACAGAAGACACACACATGGGTGGGGGGACACAGAGAGACACACACAAGTGAGGGGACACATGATACATACATGGGTGGGGGGACACAGTGGGACACACAGGGGTGGGACACAAACGGGTGAGGGAACACACAAGGGGGATGACATGGGAGACATATGGGGGGGACACAGTGAGACACATACGAGTGAGAGGACACATGATACACACATAGGTGGGGAGACACACGAGACACGCGTGGGTGAGGGGACACACGAGACACATACGGGTGGGGGACCACACGGTGAAGGGACACGGGTGGGGACACGCACACAGGGAGGAAGACACGGGTGGGGACATACGGGTAGGGGGACATGGTGGTGCACATACACACGGGTGGGACACACGCATGGCCAGGGGGACACAGAGGGACACACGGGCAGGCGGACACGGGCGGCGGGGCAAACACGGATGGGGGACGACACATGGGTCGGGGGGGGACATGGGGAACATGGGGGACACACACGAGTGGGGGTGACACGCGGGGAGTGGACACACGGTGGGGACACACAGGGGGTGGGAGGAACCGGGGGAGGGGGGAACACAGACGGTGGGGGACACGAGGGACGCACACACTCGGAGCACACGCGGGCGGGGATACACGGGGATACACGGACGGGGGGACACGGGGGACGCACACGCGGACGGGGGGACACGGGCGGGAGCACACACAAGCGGGGGAACACACAGTGGGGGGCACGGGAAGGACACACACGCGGGCGGGGGTCTCGTACCTTCTTCAGCTCCAGGTCCACGGGCGCCGCCATCTTGTCCCCGCACGGCGCATGCGCGGGCCGAGGGGGCGGTCCCGGCGGCTCCTGAGGGCTCGGCCGGGCCTTCCCCGGGGAGGCAGAACCGTCCTCTGCTTTGGAATCACGGAACGCGAAGGCGTTGGAATGGTCCTTAAAGGCCATCTAGCCCCATCCCCCCATCGTGGACAGGGATACCTTCCACTGGACCAGGTTGCTCAGAGCCCCGTCCAACCTGGCCTTGGACACTTCCAGGGATCCAGGGGCAGCCACAGCTTCTCTGGGCAACCTGTGCCAGGGCCTCCCCACCCTCACAATAAACCATTTATTCTGTGTATCTAACCTAAATCTCCCCTTTTTCAGTTTGTACCCATTACTTCTTGTCCTGTCACTACAGTTGCTGACGAAGAGTCCCTTCACCGACCTCCCCATAGACCCCTTCAGATCCTGGAAGGTGCTGTGAGGTCTCCACTCAGCCTTCCCTTCTCCGGGCCGAACAGCTCCAGTTTTCTCAGCCTGTCTTCATAGGGGAGGTGCCCCAATCTCCCTTATCGATGCCCAGAGTGGCCTCCTCTGGACTTGCTCTGACAGTTCCATGTCCTTCTTATGTTGGGCACACCAGAACTGTACATAGTACAGAGGGAGGATCTCCTCCTTTGACCTGCTGGCCACACTCCTCGGGATGCAGCCCAGGATCCCGTTGGCTTTCTGGGCTGTGAGTGCTCACTGCTGGTTCATGTTGAGCTTTTCATCAACTGTCACCCCTAAGTCCTTCTCCACAGGGCTGCTCTCCATCCCTTCTCCTCCCAGCCTGTTGGTGTGCCTGGGATTGCCACGACCCAGGTGTAGGACATTACATTTACGTTTTGTTGAACTTCACGAGGTTCACATGGTCCCACCTCTGCAGCCTGTCCAAATCCCTCTGGATCCATCCCTTCCCTCCAGCATGTGGCTGCACCACACAGCTCAGTTTCATCAGCAAACTTGCTGAGGGTGCCCTTGATCCCACTGTCTGTGTCTCCAACAAAGATGCTGGACAGCAAGTGGAATGAAAGGGAGCATCTCTAGGACTGCCAGCCTTTCCCAGCCCAGTGGGGCACAGGGAGCCAGCCCACTGATCCAGACAGCTTCCCTACATCTCCAAAGCATGTTTGTCACCTCTTGGCCTGTTAAATCTCCACCTGTGGGCAGCCCAGCCTGCACAGGTGCAGGAGGAGGGCAGAGAGAAGCTGGGCTCTGGGCACAAGTTCCAACTACCTGCTGAGACACCTTCCAGCAGAGCTATTCCCACCAGGATGCTGTAGAGCCCCAGGCAAGTGGAGCTTCCCACTGGAAAAGGTAGAAAAGCTGCAGGGCTACAGCAGCTCTGGGAAGGTGAGAAGCAGCAGCACAGTGAGGCAGGGACACAACCCTGGTTGCAGAAGGGCCTCTTGCACAGCAGCCAGGGGCATTATTTGCTTAAGAGACTTTGAAAAGGACAAGTTTGGAGTCTCTGGTCAAACTGGCATTGCCACAGCACAGTCAGTAACTCATTTGCACATTTGCACAGTCAGTAACTCATTTCCCTGGCTCTGGGACTGTGTCACTGCAGCTGCTGAGGCTTTAACTCTCCAGACCATAACACCGTGGTCACTCCCCCTTGGTCACAGCTGTGTCCTTCAGCTTCATCACAACAAGCACTGGAAAGCTCAAGTACTGCTGTGTTCCCCCTTCCCAGCAGCTCAGCTCTCCCCTTTGCTGACTGGAGTTCCACACCTGCAGGGGCTGCCTCAAAGCTCTCTACCAGAGCCAGCATCTCTCTCTAATCTCAGCTTGAGGTTACTCTTACTGCAAAGTCATGAGTCGCTCCTGAGCCGTCACCTGAAGTGATGCTTTGTGGATGGAATGACTGCAGCCCCAGGAGCCTGCAGTGGCCCCAAGGACAGCTGGGGTCCCCTACAAGGAAGATGTGAGTCCACTTCTGGCTTCTTCTTTGCCAAATGATAGAATTATTTGGTTGGAAGGGACTTTTAAGATCATCCAGTCCACCTTTCACTAGACCAGGTTGCTCCAAGTCCCATCCAGCTTGGCCTTGAACACTTCCAGGGATGGGGCAGCCACAGCTTCTCTGGGCAACTTGTGCTGGCTTAAAACCAGGAACCAATCCCATTTGAATGGATCAGCAGCCAGAGCAGCTTCACTCACACTTTGCTTGGTGAGCAGACACACAAACATCACGGCCCCCCCAGGGCAGTAGCTGGTAAAGATGAAGCAAATCTCAAAAAAAAATCCACATGGGGCTGTCCTGGCTGCAGAGGATGGATCCTGCCCCCAGCTCCTCAGACCACACTGCTCCCCAGGGATGGCACAAACTGATCCATCAGCCCACACTGCACACTCTCTGCTGCTGTTGGCAGCACCTCATCAGTAAGGCCTTCAGAATCCTGAATGCTTTCCACCTCCATCATTAAATTAACAACCCAAGCATTTGTTACAAAGTGTTATTTATTAGAATATTACATTGCACTTAAAAAATAAGGGAGGTCTGACCCCTGTCATCTTGACCCTACACGAAGGACGCAGGGCCAGACCTACAATAAATATAAATACTATGTACAGTTTATCTAAAATAAATATATAATTTAAAATGAAAAATATCTTGTTAAATAGCTGTTACCCTCCCCCCCCCTCCCTCCTGCGGCGAAGGAAGCCCCGAGCCCGGTGTCTCCTCCCTTTCACAGTTTGTTCCTCGGCACTGCAGTGGACGGAGAGCCGCCGGGCAGCCGGTCCCTCCCACCCCCGAGCCCGCCCCGACCCCGGAGGTGGCCACGAAGCTCCTGCAGTGCCGCCGCTGCCCGAGCGGCCCCGCCGCGGGTGCCGTCCTGGTGCTCCAGCGAGCCCCCGACGTGCCGCAGCCCCGCTGGTCTCGCCTCTTCCAGGAGGTAGAAGTGCGTTATTAGTGCCGACCCCTGCAAGAGAGAGGCGGGAGAGCTCACAACACGGTCCTGGGCTGCTCTGCCCACAGAGCACGGTGGGGTAAGGGTGCTGGGTCCCACCCAGCCCGGCAGGAGAGCACTCGCACCCACCCAAGCCCCAGCTGCCACTCGCTGCCTCTCGGGGCTGCACCCAGGAGGATGGGAGCCAGCACACCCAGGAGAGGTGGGTAAACATCCCACCCTGCGTCCACCGTGCTTCCCTTTCAGGGACCACGGCACTTTTCCTCCTGGACATATCCACCCCAGTAACCCCCAGGGCAAATAGGACAGTGAGGAAAGCCCTGTTCTGAGTCTCCTCGAAAATTCAGCTCCAATGAACAGCTCAAAAATCCCACTCCCAGCACTGTGACAAACATGACAGAAATTCTCCGAAGGCATTACTTCATCTTTACAAAGAACAATGACTTTTCTTTTTTTTTTTTTTTTCAAGAAGAGAAGGAGCTGTGATATGTATGGCCACGTCTAACGTCAGGGTTTGGATCAGACCAGAGGAAGTTTGACAGCTTTTCAGCACCCAACCCTGCAGCCACCCCTGGAGTAGAGCACACCCCTCACCCACCACCCAGCCAGCCAGAGGAACATGGCATGGGCTGGCAGCAAGATCCCCCTGTGCCCAGCTGCAAGAGCATTACTTGCTCTGCTGCAAGTAATAAGCAGAGTGGGAGTGAAAAGGAAAGGGGTTTTTTACACATATGTATAAATAGAAGCAATATCTAAGGAGGGGAAGTGACTCAGAGGGTCAGAGAGGGAGCAGAACAAGTGGGAAAAAAAAAACCAAAACAGAAGCAGCTTCCCCACTGCCAAACATCCCCAAAGCATGGAGCACTGGGGCAGGGCAGGGACTTGGGGCTAGAAAGGAGGTGGGAGGAATGAAGTAGTCAGAGAACAGGGACTTGGGCAGGAAGGTGAGATAAGAGGGTTGGAGCCCCACAGGGCAGTCCAAGCTCTCTGCCCAAATCCAGCCAGCTGCTTCTCCAGGCTTAGGCTGCCTTCAACACTCCTGCCTGGCTCTGGCACGGGATCCACATAGCAGTCCCAGCCAGCATGAACAGCAGAGCCCCCAGATGTCCACCAGCCCCACTGCTGCCCCCTGCCCAGCCAGGGGCTCACCTTGCCAGCACCCGGCATCCTCAGTGATTCACAGTGATGCCCAGCTTGATTTTCTCTTCGTTTTCTACATCGTAGCCACCCCTCTTGTGACACCTGCGAGGCCAAGCAAAGGGATGCTCAGGGCAAGAGGTCCCTGCCACCCTCCTCTTGCGCGTGATCTTCCCAGGGACACAGATTCCGAGAGTTCAGCCCCGTCCCACTCACCTGAGCATCAGCAGGGCTGCGATGATGACGAGACACAGGGAGGACAGGACAACAGCAACCACGGCCAGAGCCGTGGTGTGGTCGTACGCGCTGGGCGGGTGCTCCACCGGCAGCAAGAGGCCGTGGCAGCGCTCTCCGTGATACCCTGGCTGGCATCTGGGCGAGAAAGAAAGTCATAAAGGTTGGTGGTGAGCAAGCACAGGAGGTCATTGTGTCCCCCCACACCCCTTGGAAGGTGGTATCTCTCCCTGGTACTCATAAATTAAGTTTCTCCTGCGCCAAGTGAAGACTCCTAGAAAGGTTAAACTCTCCACCAGCAGAAGGCACCAGGGTCTGTCTCCTGCCAGTCCCTCCCAGGCAGAGCCAGGCTGCCCAGACCACCTCTGGAAGTAGGAAGGGAGCAGCATGGTAGCTGGTCCAGCGCTTCCCACAGAGCAGGATGTCCCTGCACACCCTGACAGCCGAGAGGTGCCCCATCCCTGCAGACTCGGGAGGTTACTCATGGAACAGAAATAACGCTCCCCACAGGGCTGTGAGGCTTCCAGCCCTTCCCAAGCCACAGCCCACTGATGTGACCAGATATATATATCCCTCTATATCCAGCACCACTGACCCTCGGGCTGATGTCCAAGCCGGGTTTAGCCCAGCCCTCCTCCCAAGCTCATAATGGCACATACCAGTGTTACCTCCCAGGCACAGCAGCAAGGCTGCACACAAGTCAGAGGTGCAGGACCCAGCCCAGCAGCATCCTCACTCCA